GTAGAGACAGATGGGACTTGTAGGGACAGATGGGACATGTAGAGACACATGGGACATGTAGGGACAGATGGGACTTGGACAGACAGGAACATTAACTGGTTAGGACAGTCTTTTGTCTCCAGTCTGTATTCTGTAAACCCTGGGGTCTCGTTGATCTCTGGTGGTCCTCTTCAGAGTTACCTGCAGCACACTGGACCTTTCAGAGCGTCTTCACTCCATATATGGTCGTGCTGCTTCCTGTTGTTGTGAACTGGCCCCCTCACAGACTTTCTGTTTCAAGTTAACTTAAAATAACTGAATTACTTTTAAAACCGTAAAGTTCTTCTGTTAACTCGTTCACGATGTGTCGACGCTTGTTCAAAACGTCTCCAGCGTTAATTACCTGGACTGCTTGTTGCTCAGGTGAACAAGGGGACAAACGTGGTCCTGCAGCACAACATCGTGGCGGGTTATGAGAGAGTGGCGTATCGCATCAACGGCGAGCCGTGTCCAGGTAACAAACAGTTGAGATCAAAGCTTCCTGTCCGACAGCTCAAACTAACAGAACGTCTCCGTCGCCGCAGACCTTCCCAACGACAACGAGGCCTGGATACAGAACGAGGCGCACGGCGGCCTCTACGGCGTCTACATGAACAAAGACGGTTTGGCCGGCTGCAGCTTCATCCAGGGCTTCTTCGTCTGGAAGACCTTCGACTTCGCCATCTACTTCCAGGTAGGCAGCTGAAGGTCCAGAGGTCTGGTTGGTCCATGGCTCCTGTTCACCTTTTACATGGTCCTCCTCTGCTCCTCAGACCATCATGAGTGTCGTCGTCTCCAACGTGACACTGGTCGATAACGGGATGGGCGTCATGCCGCTCGTCTACGCTCCGCCTTCTCTGTCGCACACGTACGCAGATAAAACCGTGCATGTTCAGGTGAGCAGCCTTACGTAACGAGCCTTACAGCTGCTGAGATCTTTCCTAAGACGTGCTTCTTCTCCCAGAACACCCTGATTGTCGGCAGCAGCCCGAACTTCAACTGCTCTGACTCTCTGGATGGAGACGACTTCAACGTGGCCGTCAGCGCCGGACACCGAGCGCCCAGACCGCTCCAAGGTGACGGAGACGCACCCAGACCTCCAGGCAGACGTTTGGAGTGACAGTCCAGTAGTTTTCACATCCAGATATTTCTTTATCATTCTTAATATTTCATCCTCAGCTTTTGATTGACAGCTGCCTGAGCCAATAGGAGACTGTGTTCAGTCCTCAGAACTGGTCCGCTGCAGGAACCCTTTGGACTGGGTCTGACACCGGGCCACACAGACGTGGTCTTAACACGTGTCTGTTGTGTTTCTGCTCAGGAGGCAGATCTGGAATCAGTTGGCCCACGTTTCAGTCTGACCACAACACGGCTCCGGGTAAACCTCACCACCTGAACATGAACTACAACTCCATCAAAGGCCTGATGGAGGTCACAGGTGGGTGTCTTCGAGCACATCACATCGTCCTCGTCTCTCTCACGCTCACTCCTTGCTCTCTGCTCGTCTTAAAGACACGACCTTCGTGAACTTCCGCTCCGTGTGTTCTGGTGAGAGGAACTTCATGTTCATCACCAACCCTCTGAACGAGGACCTGCAGCACCCAGTGCAGGTTTCAGGCATCCGGATGGTCAACAGCACCGAAGATGCCAAAGTTTTCATTCACAGACCTGATCTGGGGTACGAGTTAGAGTTAAATGCTAAAGAGGCGGGAGTTACATGAATCAAAGGTCCGAGTCAGACGTTGCTGTTTCTGTGCCTCAGGAAGGTGAACCCGGCTGACTGCGTGGACATGGACTGCGACGCCAAGAAGAAGACCTTGCTGAAGGACCTGGACGGGTCGTTTTTAGGTGCAGTTGGAGCCGTGGTGCCTCAGTCCGAGTTCGAGTGGGGGGGAGATCCCAGGAGGGGTCTGGGGGACTACCGCATCCCTAAAGTGGCCCTCACCGCTCTGAATGGCAGCCGGATCCCCGTGGAGCAGGTCGCTCAGTTTAAAGGTAAGAGTTGAACCTGCTGTGGTCGGAGGTCTTGGTTCAGTGATGACCAAATGCTGCGTTCAGGTGTCGTCAGGAAAAATTGCACCTACATGGAGTCCTGGCAGAGCTACAAGTGCTTCAGCCTGAACTACCGGATGATGGTGATCGAGAGTCTGGACGCTGACACGGAGACCCGGCGCCTGTCTCCCGTCGCCGTGCTCGGAGACAGCTTCGTGGATCTGATCAACGGTCCGGTTCTGATCCAGTTTAATTGTCTCTTGTGTGTCTGGGGTTCTGAATGTTCTATTTTTGGGTTCAGGTCCTCAGGATCACGGCTGGTGCGCTGGCTACACCTGTCAGAGGCGAGTGTCTCTGTTCCACAGCGTAGTGGCCGTCGGCCACGCCTTCGACGTGTTCTTCACCGGCGTCAGCCCGCAGAAGCTCCGCCTCCTGATGCTCAACTCGGACTCGTCTGAGGTGGGTCCAGTCCAGGGTCTTGCTCAGTTCACCTTCGGCGTCTGGTTCTTTGAGTTAACGGTCTCTTGGTCTGCGCAGAGCGTCCTGGTGTCGGTGTTCTACTCCAACCCTCAGCGGCTGGACGTCTACGTCCAGAACATTCTGGTCGCCCCGACCAACGCTGCCTGGAACAACGACAGAACCGACTACACCCTGAGGAACCCCACGTTTAAAGGTGGGCCGATACTCACACCCTGAGGAACCCCACGTTTAAAGGTGGACCCACACGTTCAACACTCACCCTGAACATGATCAGTGAATCTGTGGAAAGGTTCTCCTCCTGCTGCTCCTCCTCTTCCTGCTGCTGCTCCTCCTCCTCCTGCTGCTGCTCTTCCTGCTCCTCCTCCTGCTGCTCTTCCTTCTCCTCCTCCTGCTGCTGCTCCTCCTCCTCCTGTTCCTCGCTGAACATCAAACCTGCACACCTGGAGAACCTTCAGTTCTGGTCCAGACCAGCAGAACCTTGAAGGAGCATGAATGATGGGATGACTCTCAGCTACTACCACACCAGGTTCCAGCTGATGACACACGTTTGTGTTTGCTGAGGTCGACTAGATGTGGCGGCCATTTTGAATCGGGTTGACTCCAGAAGTTAATTAAGTTTCTGTTTCATGAATTTCTGTCCAGAGGTTCTAGAGATATTTTGCTAACAGACAAAATGAACACAAACACAAGAGAATACATGATTGCCTGCCTTCCATGATGACGGGAATAAAAGTTCATCAGCCAAGGCGGGACAGATGTGGAAGGATGCCAAAACATCTCTACATGTTGGGTCAAACATGGTGCTGACCGGACCTCAGGTTGACCTTTGACCTCTGGTTCTGGGCTCATTGGACCTCAGGTTGACCTTTGACCTCTGGTTCTGGGCTCGTCAAGGTGCTTCAGGAGTTTTGTTGCATTAAATGGTGTTTACTGAAAACCGGACTGGTTCTCTGTTCTCTCCAGACGAGTACGTTCCTCAGATGAACGGTTCTGTTGGTACCAACTACTTCGACCAGGACTACAAGATGCTGAAGGTCCTGCTGAGAGGCTCCACTCCAGTGGAGATCAGAACCTCCCCGGTTCTGGTCCTGGCCTTCAACATGCCTGCCATGACTGAGGCCGAGTTCTTCGGCGATAACCTGATCCAGAACCTGGCTCTGTTCCTCAAAGTTCCCGCCCAGATGATCCGCATCTCCAATATCATCAGGGAGAGCGGCGGCTCGCGGCGCCGGAGGAGGTCCACAGGCCTGACGGTGGAGGTGGAGATCAAGAAGCCTCCGGTCCAACAAAGCACCAACAGCACCAACGGTTAGAGAAGAGCAGAGCTGGGTTTGATCCGTTCAAAGTTCTGGAGGACCCAAAGTGAGACACTCTTTGTTGTTTCAGACCAGGACTTCGAGCTGCTGAAGACCATCGCTGATGATCTGGGTCAGGCGGCAGTCTCAGGGAACCTCAGTCAGTCCATCGGCTTCAACGTGTCCTCCGTGGGCATCATCCCTCCACCTCCTCCATCTTCAGACCCAAGCTGGAGCCAGGTGAGTCTGTTCCACACCCGTCCTGCTGGTTCCGGTCCAGATGAGGCTTCTGAAGAACTTCAGTGCTGCTAAATAACCCGTTCTTCCAACCGCAGGTGGCCGGAGAAGAAGTGACGAGAGATGAGCCCACGCCGAGTTATGTGTCCGGGGTTTCCCGCCTGCTGCTGGTGCTGGACCCGATCGCCGGCGAGTTCGTCGGTCCTCTGTACCAGCAGCCGAGCCTGAAGGCTGTGGACGAGCAGGTGAGACCTGGACCCAAACCAGACCCAAACCGTACCCCGAGGTTCTGTTTGTTGTATCATCTCACAGGATGTCAGGTCCTCCTCTGTTTCACGACAGAAATCCTTCTTCCTGTTGCTGCATTTCAATAAACATATACATTTATTTAGGTTATGATCATGTGACCACCTCACCTGCTCCGATGTGATCACGTGACCACCTCGCCTGCTCCGATGTGGTCACGTGATGTGACCCAAGGTTCTGCTGTTTCAGGGGAACTGTGTCTCTGTGGGAGTGACCACTCTCACTGTGACGGCCAGTCTGAAGGACTCCAGAGGAGAACCAGTGAACGGACTGGACGGAAACACCACCATCCAGTTCAGAACCTGCTGGGCCAACTTCACGGACCTCTCCATCCTCAGCAGCGGTGCGTTTGTGACCCGCCTGCAGATACAGAACGTTCTGTAGGACCTCTGTAACACCCGTCTTCTCTCTGCAGGGGAGAACCTGACCATGGTGTTCACTCTGAAGAACTGGGGAGCCCAGTCTGAGGCCTTCACAGTCAGGAACCTTCCCACCATGACCATTACCACCACGGGGGCTCCGCCCACCACCGACAACAGCATCTTCAGCTCCAGCACCTCGCTGACCGCCGGCGGTCTGTGTCTCATCAGCGTGATCTACGAGGTGGCGTGCTGCTCCACCAGAATCCCCATCTGTTAGAAGTTCTGTCCAGAACACGGGTCCATGTGTTAGAAGTTCTGTCCAGAACACGGGTCATCGGCTCCGATAGTCCGGAGGTCCGTTTGAAGGATTTACAGATGAAACGTTCGCTCTGAGACAGAAAACTACACAAAACATGTCGACGTGTAGATTTCCAAACTCCTCCTTAGTTTTCTACAAATAAAAACGCTTTTTCACGTCACAACATTTTTATTTAATACAAGTTTCTTTCAAAGGCGACGCCTTTAATGTCAAATATAATAAACACGAACAGATCTTTGATCATTGATCACTGGTTTTAATTTTACTGAAGACACGATGATTAAATCAACTTGAAACGTTTTCAGAATGAAAATGAGAAAATAAAGATTTCTGTAAAACTGACAAATCTGAAGAAAACCTTTGGATTTAACAAATCTGAAGAAAACCTTTGGATTTAACAAATCTGAAGAAAACCTTCGGATTTGACAGATCTGAAGAAAACCTTTGGATTTGACAGATCTGAAGAAAACCTTTGGATTTGAAGTTCTTCAACTCCTCATTTATACAACGGTTCTGATCCACTTCTGGTGTTTTGTCTTTTATTCTTCTGGTCTGGATGAAGGTTTTCATGTTTTATCTTTCAGGGGAGGATCTTGGACCATTTCTTGGGAAAGAAAAATCAATAAATGATTATTTGTTGACCTGAAGGAAAAATGTTGCACTTTATGGAATGTTTCATAAAAGTCTCTTCAATAAATTCTACTTTTCATGTAAAATCCTGTTTCGAACGTTGTTTTCTTCCTGAAGCCCGTCGGGTCGAGCTGAGCAGAACTTCTCCAAACCTTCACCCTGATCCAACAGTCCAAGTTTCTGAGGGGCGATCATGTAATCTAAATCAAAACACGTCCGCTCACCGACCGGTCGTGAGACACGGGTCACATGGGGTCAGATTCTGGTCCACTCCTCCTGATCAAACTGCTCCAGCTGTTTCAGGTCTGAAGGTTCTCCTCCAGATGTTTCAGCTCTTTCCCCAGATGTTCAACAGGATTTAACTCAGAGGGGACACTTGAGAACAGTTTGTTTCTGATCTGGTCTTGGTGTCTGTGTTTTGGGTCGTGATCCTGTTGGAGGACCCGTGAGGCCTCAGGGGTCACCAGGGGTCATCAGGGGTCACCAGGGGTCATCAGGGGTCACCAGGGGTCACCAGGGGCAGCAGAGTCGGTTCCTGGGGTTTAAGAGTAAAACCCAGTCTCTGTCCGTGGTTCTGAAGGCTCCGACTGGCTGCAGTTTACTGCCGGACCTCAGAACCGAGTCTGTTTCTCCACAAGATGGTGCCACAGATAAACCCAGACTGAGGATCAGAACCACTTGGACTGGACCCGTTCACCTGCAGAACCAAACGTCTGATGGTTTTCATCTCAGAGAGCTGGAACCTGACCTCCAGAGTTCATTTTGGACCCGCACTCAGCTCAGAATGTGGGTGTGTTCTGACCCGGTTCTCTGACCGTTTGGACCTCCTGAGCTCACAGTCGGGTCCAGTCTGCGGCTCAGACTCTGGGGTTCTGTTGGACCTTTTCCCTCCTGCTGCCCTGCAGAGCGACGTGGTTCTGAAAGTCTCTGAGAGCAAAGACGGAAACATTTTAAAGAACTTTCGAACATGACCCGGGTTCCACCCAGAACCCGGGTCGAGCCTCATGACGTCATGCTGTCCATCTATAAGACCTTCTCCTCTGCCAAGGAACTGGGTCTGAACGCCAGTTGGTTCCGGTCCTCCAAGGCTGCTGACGGGGGACAATATGCGCACGAGCACGTGCACGTGTGTCTCTTCTTTCGTGTCAGTGCAGCAGAAGAACTCTGAAGGGGGGACACGTCTGTCCTCCTGGGTGAATACTGGACCTGAGGGTACCTCTGGACACTTCAGGTTCTGGACGGTCCATTTCTGTCCCCGGTTCTTCAAGGTCCAAAAACGTTCTGATAGTTCCAGATGTTTGGGTTTTATTCAAGTCCAGAAGTTTCAGTAAAGACCTTTATTCTCCTAAAATTATTTTAAATCATTTTCAGATTTTCTTTAGTTGGTGGTGCAGAGGTTAGAGAAGGCGCGCCTGAGGGCGCAGGTTTGATCCCCCGGACGACAACATCTAAATGTGGGTGGGACAGGTGAAGCACCCACACCTGCCTCCACCCTCATTTGTCCCACTCTGGGCCCTTGAGCAAGGCCCCCCCATCTGCTCCCCCCTCCACACAGAGGCTGTCGGTGTCTGGTTGGTCATGAGGAACATCTGGAGCGTGTTCTCTGTGGAGACCCTGAAGGAGCAGCTGAAAGAAGAAGAATTAACAGAAGCTGCTCACCTTCTCCACTTGCTACAGAGACAACAGGAGGTGTCCCTCTGTCCCACCTGTCCCCAGTCCTCGTCTCAGTGTCTCCATGTGGACAGATGTTAGGTTCTGGTTCCTGTTACTCTTTGATCTCATCGGTGCTGAACCTCGTCATGTTTGGTCCTCTTAATGGGACTTGTCCAGATGTTGGATTCTTGGGTTCTGACTGGTTCTGGTGGGTTTCTAGGACCGGCACCACAGAATCAGGAGGTTTGTAGGACACAGTGAGACCAGAGACCGTCTCTCGTGGTCCATGTCTTCACTTGTTTAACAGAAGCTTCAGGTGGAGTTCTGGTGTTTGGCCCGCTGGACCTCCGGTACCAGACAGCAGGAAGTCCTACAAGCTCTGTAGAACTTTGTGGAGAAATCTCTCGGTTCTGTTCACAGTGACGAGCTCTCTGCTTCGAGTGAAGGAACCAAACGGGTCGGGCCCTGCGGTTCTGTTGTCAGGTCCAAAGACTCCTGTCAGAACCTCCTGGACCACGCTGGCCGGTACCTTTTACTCCTCTTTAAGGTAAAGCTTGTACTTCAGAACCGCTGGTCCAGGTCCGGTCCAACAGCTTGTAGAACTTCAGCAGTGCTGGTTCTGGTCTCTCTGGGCCTCAGTGAGTAGCTGACCCGTCTCCAGAACCTCAGGGCGGTTCTGAACTTCCTGGTGACTCAGAGGAACACGGCTGTGATCGTGTTTGGATCTCCAGCTCGCCTCGAGCTCCTGTCCTGCAGGACCACCTGAAGCAGGTCCAGACCTGGAGGTTTATTCAGAACCTGCTCATCAGCAGAACCTGAACCTGGGCCCAGAACCCCTGAAGACCCTGCAGAACGACCAGACGCATCACGGACCACGGGGACTTAAACAACTCTCCAAAGAGTTCAGGAATATAAACCTGAAGATGCTGAGAATCAATACAAACATTGACAATTATTTTACTGACAGGAACAAAAATAACATTAAAGTTATTTGGAATATATTGAACAATGTCATTAAGAAAAGTTCTAGACCAATTATCATCAATATGTCATCAATAATGATGACATCATTAATGGCTAATAATCTCAACAGGTATTTTGTGTTGGATGAAAACTGGCAGAACCAGTTTGTGATCCTGGATCAGCTGATCGATCCTGGATCATCTGATCCTGGATCAGCTGATCGATCCTGGATCAACTGATCGATCCATCATCAGCTGATCGATCCTGGATCAGCTGATCGATCCATCATCAGCTGATCGATCCTGGATCATCTGATCGATCCATCATCATCTGATCGATCCTGGATCAGCTGATCGATCCTGGATCAGCTGATCGATCCTGGATCAGCTGATGATCCTGGATCATCTGATCGATCATGGATCATCTCATCGATCCTGGATCAGCTGATCGATCCTGGATCAGCTGATCTATCCTGGATCATCTGATCGATGCTGGATCATCTGATCGATCCTGGATCAGCTGATCGATCCTGGATCAGCTGATCTATCCTGGATCATCTGATCGATGCTGGATCATCTGATCGATCCTGGATCAGCTGATGATGGATCAAACATTAATAAATTAATTCAATGTCTGTCAGCTGTGGAAGAGAAGTCACAGATGTTGTAAATAAAAGTAAATCCACGGCGTCACAGACCGTTGTGGTTTAGATGTGATGACGGTGAAAAAGGTTATGAGACCGTTGTTCCACCAATGACCTTCATTCAACCTTTACTTATACTGGTTAGTCCCACTGAGACCAGTGGCAGCTCCAGAGATCATTTTCTGCAGAGGCTAAGTGTGTGTGTGTGTGTGTGTGTGTGGGGGGGGGATAAACATTTTACTGACGGTGCTATGAAGGATCATTTGTTCTTTCAGTTCTCAAGGTCAAGGTGTCTTTACTGTCATCCTCATCACATGTGGTACATGAGGTGGAATGAAACTGTTCACAGGGTCCCAGTTCCATCAACACAAATACAAACTAAAGAAAAACAGTGATAAGATCTAAAATATGAACTAATGCACTAAACACTACTGGTACGAAACAATGAATCAAACAGCAGCACGAACATGAGTCTGTGTGAGCAGATGAGGACGAATGACCACAGCAACATGAAATAATCAGCAGCATGAGATCAGCAGCATGAGATCAGCAGCACATATAAACAATCAAGTGGAATTAGTGATTTTTTTTTCACAGTGATGATTCTGACCAGGGTCATGAGTCTAACAGCCTCAGGGCAGGAACTTGTAGCAATAATGAAGGGTGAGGTGAAGAAGGGTGAGATGGAGAAGGGTGAGATGAAGAAGGGTGAGATGAAGAAAGGTGAGATGAAGAAGGGTGAGGTGAAGAAGGGTGAGGTGAAGAAGGGTGAGATGAAGAAGGGTGAGGTG